AATAATATGCATCAAAAATAATATACCGAGGTCTGGAATGGTATACTGATATAATATATTACGTTTTAACAGGCAACTCACGTAAAAGAGACGACGGCCCTATTGGTAGCGCCGGTGTTGGAAAAATCATATTCCCCACGAATATTACGTTCCATGTTTTCCGGAAGTTCGTCACCGTCGTCGTTGATATATACAGGGTGTATCTGCAAGATTTGAAGATTTTCCATAGAAATATAATATAGGAAATTGTCGAATCCTGTGGACACACCCGGTATATAGGACACAGATAAACCCTTGATGATAAAATATTATATTTTCTCTGATTTTTGTTCATTATTCTTAATACCAAGGCTATGCGATCCGTAGATACGACTTTGACTAATCAGGACCGGATTTAGGTAAGCGGTGGTCTTTAGCTGGAATATAATGTAGTGCCTACATTACTTCAAATTAAAAACAGGCGTTAGGATAATGAATTTTTTTTTTTTAGCATTTTGTTACATTTAATTACACTTGTATATTTTCTTCTACTTACTGTATATTTAACAAACATTTTAATTTTGCGAATGTTTTAGGTAATATTTATTCGGTAAGTACGCTGTAAATTAAATTATTAGACAAAACAAAAATACTTGGAAATTTAACAGAAAGATATAAGTCAACAAGAAATATTTGAGCTTAATGTAGAATTTTTTTTAATCAGAATTTGTTTTAATATCAAATTTTGACGCAAATTTTAAGTATTACAACCTTTTAAAACATGTATTACTGAACTCCGGTCATAATTGTTTTTTATTTGTAATAGTTATTCGTTGTATATAGATACACATTAATTTCCATTCTATATTCCCCTACATTTCTACTTTCACAACTTCTTTCTTACAATAGTAACCCATTATAATGATATATTTCCTTTAATAATATTTGTTTTATGTACCGATTTTCCCATTTTTCCTTCGTTTTTCTCATTTTTTCCCTGGTTTTTCGTATTTGCTAGAAAACCTCTTGGGAAAATCGAAAAATTTCATCTTTATGGTACCTCCCAAGTCCGAGTTATTTTGTAATTAGTCTCTTCAGTGAGAAAAACCTTTACTAGCAGCATCAGGTCATAAGAATTTAACACTCAATTGTTTATCCAACAGTCGATTAAAGAAAGCATGGTATGAGGCCACTAGAAAAGCATCCCACATGCTTAAGAAAAATTAAAGAAAACAGACATCGATGGAACAGATTAACCTAGAGCTAGAAGTACAAAAATAAAAAAAAAAATATGAAAGAGAATAATGTAACATTCCCAAAAAAGGTTCCATAAGAACATAATTTTTGTGCCATAAGCAACACCATTTTCATCCACTGCATACAGCGCCAAGAGAAGGCATTTCATATACAGACCACCAGGTAATGGCACGCGCGCACAAACAAATCCGTATCACACCGTCGCGCCGTAGCACTCCCGCCAGCTGGCCACCGTCATTGGTTAACGACGCGGTACCAACGTCGCCCAAAAACAACGCCGCCGACGCCGTCCGGCCGGCTGAATCACACTCGCTCGTAGTCCGCAGACCCCGACGTACGCGTTAATTATTTAAGTTATTTAAATTATTTATGTTGGTGTTCAACAACCATCCAAGCCTTCATCTACTGCCTGCTGCCGTCTAACCGTTAAGCAATACACGTATGGCCACTAGTGGCAACGGCCACGCGCCCTACCGGCAACTGACTAGTCCTTTTTTCTGGCACCAACGGCAACTGCTATATTCCAATTACCATCGATAACGGCCCAGAGCCCCCCGCCAGCGACTGATTACTCTCCTTTTCCAAAAGCTTCACCGGCAACTGAATATATTTCCATCTCCCGTAATAATACCCTGGTGAATGGCATCACCCCCTTAATATTGTATTCCCTGTTATTTTATACTCGCTTGTATCTGATTTCTTAAATAATTTTCAATATTATAATATAAATATATGATTGTTAAACATTGTATGTTTATGAAAATAAAAGATAATATTTTGTTATACCAAAAACTCCACGAGTTGTTTAACGACGGCCACCAGCTGGTACGTTACCCACTATGTTATTTCTTTATTTCATATATTTTTTTATGCACAAAAATTACAAAAAAAATAGCAAAATTTTAAATTATTTCAACCCGAATATTAAAAAAAAATAAAAATGACTTTATAATTAATGACAAACAGTGATTTTGATGTAATTATGGCATTGTTAGTTCTTAAAATAAAATGACATCTGTTTGTACTATTTGTAGTTTTATTTAATAAAAACCATAACCAATACGAAATTACGCCTAATTTGTAAAATATTTTCATTAAAAATACTTGTTATATTGTACTTATTATATTAATTTATCGTTCACGTCTGTGGAATATTATTTTCATATAATAATACTTACATACTTGTACTCTTGTTTGAAAATTAATAATATTGCCACACGTTAAACTTCATTTTTTTTTATTCTCACGCACTTATATAAATAATAATATGCATAAATTCATAAATTCATTTATTATAAATTCTTTTTGTATTTGTTTAAAAGAGCAACTTAATCCATTAGCTAATTCAACAAATATAGATAATCAATAACAAGCAAAAGAATCACCGTTTCATAATAAAGTAAATGTAACGAAATATTATTGTATAACTGTATAAATTTATGTTTACTGTCGCATATAAAATTGGTACAACTTCGTTACCTCAGCCTTACCACATTTGAATATAACAACCATACCTATAAAGTGTAAATATTTGTTTGTACTATTTATTCTGTATATAAACACAGTCATTCGAAAAAAAAGTAGTTTGTGGTATCTTGGATGATTTAAACAATTGTTTTCATATTTGTTATAATTTTACTCTTAATATTAATCCCATATAAAATAATTTATGATTATTTTTATTGTCATCCAAATGTTCAATGAAAAATGATATGAATTTAAATGCATTTTTAATGCAACAATATTCTTATAATCGTTTTTTTTTTTCAATTTAAAATCAGTAATTAAATCCTTGATCAATTAAAAACATATTGCAATAAATGCAATAATTAGAATAATATACCACGCAAATGTTTTTAATATGTATGTATACTGAACACTTATTATCACAGAAATTAAAAACTTTTTCGGAATATGTTTTAAATTAAAGCACTACAATTTTACATTTATAGTATTTTTTGTCCTCTTTTTTCGGTGGTAAAACCATTACGTAATTTTGTGTTTCTAACGACAATCTATATTAGACATTCGATAGATTATCAGATTAAATACATTTAATGCTAAAAGTGTTAAATTTCATCAATCCGTTGATGAAATTTTGCACTATTGGGTTTTGGAGAAGAGTAGTGGAGCATCATTTATGCGGTGATACGACGCATTGGGTTTTAATAATGTAGCATTACCCTCCTCTGACCAAATTTTAATTTTAAAAAAGACGTCCTAGAATAATGGAGATAGGTGCAGCCACTTTCACAGGTAATTTAATGTATATCTGTAAGTAACGATAAACCATTGCTAACGAAAAAACGATTCTCAGTCTAGTTCAGTTGATTGCGATCAATATATTTTTTATCAATATATATATATATATATATATATGTCAAATAATGGTAAAATATTGAAATAGGCATTTTGTATTTTGTTTATTAATATTGTACCGATTTTCCCGTGTTTTTCTCGGTTTTTCAAATTTGTTGGGAAAACTTAAAAAAATTGAAAAATAAACCTCCCTAAAGTAACTTTCCAGTCAGATTTAATTTTAGTAAAAGTGCTCTCATTGTAAATCGGAGCCAAATTTATGGTAGAAAAGTTATATACAAAAAAAAAAATAAGGCCATGGGAAAGATTATTTTTATCTATTACCAATTTTTTTGTAAATTTTCTGTTTTCTGACATTTTATACCGGTTTTTCCCAGATATTGCGGAAATCGCTTGAAAAACAAAAAAATGACCTAGCAAAAATACCATGTAGATACAATTTTCTTTCAGAAATTAAGCTACACTTGATACATCAAAGCAAAATTCTGGTAGAAAGGTTTGACCAACAACTCGATGCTGAAACAATCTACCAAAAACAAAATTTAAAAAAAAAATGTTTTTTTGAAAATTCGTACTTTAATTCTCAGCGTTTCCCTATTGTTAAGGAAAGTCAAAACAAAAAATCAAAAAAATGATGATTCTAATGTGCGCCGTCGACTAGATGAAATTTGATACCATTAGAAACAATCCCAAAGTTGATGATTGAAAATGATTGGTGTAAGATTTTTGTAAACAACTCGTCCGCTGACAGAAAACAAAAACGATGATCATAGTTAAGCTAACACATTTCCTGTTTATCTCAGTCTAACTGTTTAAAAGTTACAATAAGTGCTTACGCTATTTTTCCGCATAAGCTTAGGTATATGCCGTGTTTAAACAATCGTTCGTACTATATATATTTTGTGCGCTTAAATTAAATTGTACATACTATTGTATTTCGTAATTATCATTTTCGAATTACCGCCGTTAACAAAACTACTTTGTCGCTATTACAAAACAATTACATTAAATATATGAATTTAATTTCGAATTAATTAGCAAAGTATAAACGTTTCGTCCTATTACACAGAGTATAATTACTGTGTGATTCCGTACTTAACATTTTACGCGAAATAATATATTGTAACATGTACGCCATGCTCATATTATGTTATACGTTATATCGACGTGAAAATACAAAAAAAAAAAATTTAAAAAATGTAAAGCTGATTAGTTTCTAGTGCGGTAGAAAAACTCCAGATTTGCCGGAGTTTCGATAATTTGGAATTTTTTGAAATACGAATTTCGTATTTTCTGATTTTAAAAACTAATCCTTGGAATATAATTTTTAATAGGTAGTGAATACCCATATTAGAATAATGAATATGCTATTGAACCTTATTACACGATAATTTAATAAAGTATTTGTTGAGATTTCAGGTTTCTGAAAGGAAAACTTACTGAGGATGTACTTCAAGAAGGTAATTTTTCGATTTTCCAGGAGTTTTCCAATAAATGGGAAAAATCAAGAAAAACCATGGAGAAATTGGTACAATATTAAACAAATCAAAGAAAATATATAATATTTATTTAATTATTTTACCATAATATGACATATATATATATATATATATATTGTTGACAAAGCATCACTATCGACTGAACTGCACTCAAAATCTTTTTTTCATTAGTAATGGTTTATCACTGCTTACAGGAAAATATTAAATTACAGTGGCTGCACCCGTCTATATTTTCCTAGGACGTATTTTTATAACCGGGTTTCTTGAATAAACCATATAAAAATAAAACACGTAGACACACATTAAAATATTATATCGAAAAATATAGAAGCAATATTCTTTTAGATGATTTATTTCTGTTAACCAATGATCTAATGTATACGATCCTTAGGAAAATATTCTATAGGTAACCAATCGATGTTTTACACACTTGTTTACCGAGTTTCAGTGGTTTATAAAACTTAAGCTCATCATTCAGTTAACACTGCCAAGTGTATACAAAGTATCGTAGGCCTTCTATTTAATCAAATAATTTGTAACCTAAATATATATCGGCCTAAAGTAATAATAATACAACCATCGACCCACCAGAAACTTTTCCAGTATCCCGACGGGCCACTTCACTGTTGGATTATAGTTTTAATAATTTCGGTTACAATAATTTATCATTTCGCATATATATCTGTTAAGGAACAAAGTCAAAATCGAGCAAATCTCAGAAATGTACGAGCAAAAGGAGATGATACTTATGCAAAACGTTATATTTCTGATTTTGTCCGGACAAACCTATTAGTGACCAACCTCATTTGGGCGAAACCGTAGTATCCGTAAATATCAGTTTTATAATTGTTTGACCAAATAGAAATGCTTGGAAATTTAACAGTTTCATTATAGGTTGTACCTATTAAATGGTTAAAAATAAAGTTGTATATAATGTTATGTGTAATTTTTGTTTTATAAAGTTTTTAAAATCAAATTTGAATGAAAATTTTAAATATTTTAGTGTTTTAAATCGTGTATAAAAGAACTTCACTCAGAATCGTTTTTCATTAACAATGATTTATCGCAAATATAAATTAAATAACCGTTGATGTACAATGCGCACGGCCCAAAATTGTTTCGTCCATTTCCTATGGTGAAAATTTCAAATTGGTTATTTCAATAGCCTTGAAACTTTGAATTTTCACGGAAAGTCTTGAAACATTTCAATCTCACATTTCTGCCACGTATAATCGATATTTATACATTAATATTATAGGTAGGTACCTAAAGTAATATAATAAGACGTACGTATGGGTCCATTTAGGACTTTTCGTATTTCAGTTCTTCGTACGTTTTATAACGCGTCGAAGTAATGCGAGTCAAATCGGGACTTTCGCCAACGCGGGACGTTCATCTATTATTATAATAGTGAATAGAGAGGTAGTCGGGTATATGATATATAGGTATACACCGTTCGTGTAGGGTTTGTTCGGCTTCTCTTATAAAGCGTATCATCCAGAACGCTGTATATCTCGTACCTGTGTACGTAATATATATATATATATATATGAACGTATATACGGTGCGCTGGATTTCAATACAACCGTCCAATGATTATTACGCTATCGACGAAAAGTTTTCTGTGGATATCTCCGACCGCGATAAATATAATATACAGGTATAAACGACGAGCGGTTACGAACCGCGGTATCGGCACAAACATAAGAGAGGTGACGAAGCCCAAAACTTTCGTATACTATTCGAGGTATATTATATAATACTATTATTATTATTATTATTATTATTATTATTATTATCATCGTAATCATCAAAGTCGTTGTAGTCGTCTTCATTGTGTTTTTGATATCATTCTGTTGTCGGTATAGACCTCGAAAACGTCGTCGATCGACGGGCACCACTCGAAAAACCGTCATCGAAACTTATTACATTGCATTATATTTTACCGCGGAATTGTCGCCTGTGCCCAGACAAAATCACTGGTTTATTGGCAAACTCCGGAGACACGTTGCGTGCCGTAGTAATTCATTGTCGTCGTTCCTTCTCCTCCTCCTTTTCTTTCTCCCCCTCCTCCGAAAGCGATCGATATAATAAATACAAACGAAACATATTGTATAGACGCGTAGAGTACTGTGTATTTCCCCGTCGCACTGATTTCCAGATCGAAGCGCCGCTGTTTCAAATGTCGATTGCTGCACAAGGCCTACTCATTAATATAAGATTCTGAGAGCATGACGAATAAGCTGTTGTCAGGGTTAAAGCGTTCTTAACAAGTCACTGTGTTTGAAGTGTTTTATTCATAAACGTTTCAAACGTTAAAAAATTAAATCAAAATCACTAATTGAAGCGTGAAGATAATACGTCTATGTGTAAAACATAATTTCTATTCGTTCTGAAACTGTAAATGAAAATAAACAATTCCTATTATTTTTGTATAAAGAAGTTTTTTTTTTTTTTACAATATTATTATTCTGTTCTTAAGTAATTGCAATAAAATGCTATTTATAATTAACTAGAGTATTATTAAACGATAATTACAAACAATAAGGTAAAAAAAAAAAAAAGAAAAAATTTTTATTATAGGGGATTATAATTTATCATGTGCATCTACCCTATTTACTATCAGGCGATTCATTTTAATAGTGATTTGAATAGAAACGTACAGTAGATTCTATAAATGTAATCGACCGAAGAAAAAATATTCGACTCATAGCATATAATATAAAATAGTCTGCATCTCCAAGACTGGCTGGTGTACAGTCGGGGACATTTTTTATTCAAAATAATAATTAATCAAATTAATCAAATAAAAAGTACCGAATATTCGAATAAAGGCTGTTTAAATTTATTTTGAAGAAATATATTTTTCAAAATAATGAATAACAAAGGTCGAAATGAATAATATTTTATTCATGATTCAGTAAAATATTCGTATATAGGTGTGTGTGTGTGTGTGTGTGTGTGTGTATGTGTGGGTATCTATAGATATAGGTCTTCTAAATATTACCATAGTGTATAAAGGTATATATATATTAGTATTATACCAGTGCATAAAACATCCAGTTTTATGACCAAATTTCTCATATTTCCTTTTTCCTTTTTTTGGATTACCATTTAAAACATTTTTTGAAATTTGAATTCGAAAATATAGCAATTACTGAATATTTCGATTAGAGAAATAGTCTCCACCTGACTTTCCAAAATTAATAAAAATTTAATGCGTTCAAACAAAAAGAAAGGCTATCATCAGAAAAATATAATATAAGATAAACATAATATATCGATTCGTTCTAATAATATTATACTCGACACTTTATAAGTCCTTTACACATAGAAATAGTGTAATCCTACCCTAACCTAAACTAAAAATATTTGTATGATGAAGTGTTTGATCGTTTTGGATGGGAAACGAGACGATTATAATTTTTCTTTCACAAAAAAAACCTATACAATATGCAATAGCGCACACAGGATTCTTTTTTCGGGAGAGGTTTTGTTTATAAATTCGTTTGATAAATGAATCACTCGGTATAAGTATATTATAAAATCAATTTTGTTATACAGATATAAATTTTATACGAAGTTGAAATTACTCGCATTAAAGTGTAATTCAATGAGGCAATACAGATAACATTTGGAAACTGTAAACTGTTCATTTCACGAAGTAGGTTACTTATTTTACGTAGGAAAAACTAAGTGAATATTTCACGGCTTCGTCGGATGTGCACGGTTCTTGAACGAAATTGTATATTTCATATTTCGTAAAACAATATTATTATGAACCCACAAGGCGTTTTTTATTGATCATTTAAAATGTTTGCCTACGTTTATTGATCCATATCGTGTTCATTTCAATTCAATATCAATTTGCTTAGGCGGCATTCTTTGTCGGTGAAATGTGCTAATAGCGAGTCACTTCAGAGTCACGTCAGAGGAAACTTGGCATTTAAAATCTCCAGATTCTTGAGCCATAATATTAGTCTAATTCTATTTACTATATTTATTGAAAATGTTTTGATTTTTATTCCTAAAAAATTGTATGATACCTCAAGAAGAAAGAAACGAATAAATAGACAATTTTCTTGCGAAGAAATTTGTATATTCTGAACGTAGCAATGTATGTATTGATGTGTAACTATGATGTTTGCTTATTTCTTTTAGATTCTTAGATGGATGTATAATTTTTACAATAATGTTTTTTTTTATTTTTTTTATTTTATTTTACTGGGTACGAGAATTCTACCAAAAATCCCACTCCGCAGTATTAAATGTAGCACTTTTTCTGAAATGTAATTTTCCTACGGTTATATTTAATCAGGAGTTTTCATTATAAATGGGGAAAACTATAAAAAAACGTAGAAAACACGGAAAAAATTGCAAAATATACTTTTTCAAATTGTAAATATTACATGATTATGGTCAAAGCCCACCATCTACTTGCAAACCCGCCTACGCGCACCCAAGGCCGAGCCCGTCACCTTACAGCGATCGTTTAAACCACCAGCAAGCCTCTTTTATTTTTTTCAAAATAATTTTTCTTACTATTGGTAAGATATCGGTTACCAGATGAAAAATAAATCACAACTCTACTTAAATGTAACCATGGTCTATGGTAGAATTCTAGATCCAATTTACAAGTGTAACAAATTTTCTGAAAAGAATTTGGACTAGGGAGGTACTTTAAGTTAATCATTTTTTTGATTTTCCCAAAATTTTTCCGAAAAAAAGGTAAAAGTTAAAATATATTACAGCCTTATTTTTCCTGTAAACAAATGTTCAACGAAAAAATTGTATTTATACTTGGAAATGATCGTATGTGACTGAACAAACTTCATAAATCATCCAGAAATGAAAAATAAACCGAAAAACAGTGTCATTGATATTATTTTGGGTGGCCAAAATTTAAATTATTTCTAAAAATTTTCGTGTCATTAAAAGTTTGGGAACCTTTGCATTATAGAATATTAAAAAAAAAACTAACAATTACATCATAATTGATGAAACAAACTAATTCTGTATATGATGTAATAATTGCATAGTTAAAAGTTCTAAAAATAAAATGACATCTGTTTTTACTATTAGTAGCTTCTATTTAGTTAAAAACCATAACCAGTACGAAATCGCACTTAATTTGTAAAATATTACCTTTATAAATACTAGTTATATTGTACATATTATAGTTTATCGTTTACATCTGTGGAATATTATACTCGTATCATACTTGTGCTCTCGTTTGAAAATGCATAACATTGCCACACGTTAAACTTGAATATTTTTTGTTCTAACGCATTTATATAAATAATAATATGCATAAATACATAAATTCATTTATTATAATTTTTTTTTGTATTTGTTTAAAAGAGCGACTTAATCCATTAGCTAATTCAACAAATATAGATAATCAAAAACAAGCACAAGAATCTATTGTAAGTACACCTGTTCTTGGTGAAGTAAAAGTAACATATTATTAATGTAAGGTTTTTAAAATTATTATTGATTGTATAAGATTGATACAACTTCGTTACCTCAGCGCTATCACATTTGAATATAAAAACCAAACCTAAAAAAGGGGTAATGTAAATTTTTGTTCGTAAAATTTATTGTGTATATAAACAAAGTCATCCTAAAAAAGGAAGTTGTAGTCTTATAGATGATTTAAACAATTATATTTTTTTCATATTTGATATAATCTAGATTCTAATAATTAAACTCGTATAAAATAATTTATATTTACTTTTATTATCAACGAAAATGTTCATGGAAAAATGATACGAATTTAAATGCATTTCAATAGAGTGAAATTCGTCTATTCATTTTTTTTGTAAATTTAAAATCAATACTATATACTTTGATCAACCAAAAAAAAAACATCAATCATACTCCATAAGTACAGTAATTGAAAATGAAATTAGATTACCTTACACATTTTTTGTTTATTATTAATTTATTGAATTAATTGAGTGTACCACATTATTAAATATTTATTAAGTGTCATACATGGTTACATTACGTCAGTATTTCTCGGAACAATTAAATGTGTGAACATTTTTCGAATATTAAAATAAATCGAGTGTTGCATATTATTTGTCAACTATATTATTATCATACATACAAGTTAATTAAAGTAAATTGAACACGTCTTATTATTACAGAAATTAAAATCTTTTTCGGAACATGTTTTATAGAAAATAATTAAAGAAACAAGCAGCTCTAGAATTTTACGTGTATGTTATTTTTCATCACCCTTATTTTTGAGGGTAAAACCATTACCTACACATGTGTTTCGAACTACAACCTAAATGTTAATAATTTCAGAGAGAATGAGCGTCTTATAATAGAATACTCACTCTATTTACAGTGTGTTCTCTATTTTAATTGGCTTCACTCGGTATTTCATGTCAACGATAATATCATTGTAAAAACCACTTTTTATGTAAAAAACAAAAATCGAACATGATCAACTAACAATAAACTGCAAAAATACTTAAAATACATGCGAGTAATTTAAAGGTTTATTAAAATATTAACAATTACAAATGTTTAATATATTATAAATTTAGTGTTATTTAAATATGAATAAATTTAAGAGTTAAATTTTAGTATTTTAAATAACATCTTTAGTGTATTAATTTATTTAAATATTACAATTTATAACAATTTACACATATATATATATTGTCCGACAATGAATATTTTTTGGGTGAAAATATATTAATTTAAATATCGGTATATAGGGTATTCCATTTTGATGACAACATTTGATATTTCGATATATATTGATTATTTTAAAAATAAATATATTTTGGATTTTTATTAAACAATCATATCTATATCGTTGCACTTAAATTATTTTTAATTCGCATAAGTCACATTCCGGTTCTTTGACTGTGAGTTTAATATTTAACTAATTATTCATTGTAAGTAATTTACTTTATTTCGTATAATTTAATACCTTTAATGTTCATGTAAAACTATTTCTTAAAACTATTCAGAACATTTAATTATTTTTTGTCGAATTATAGCGATTTCTAAAATACCCTACTGTATGCGTAAATACCGTATTCGACTAAACTCGGTATGAAATTTGTTAATTATTATTTTCATCAGAGTCCAATTTTAAATGAAATAAAACTAACAAAAACAATCTATCCAGTCACTTACCTTTTATCTCTTCAAATAATTAATTAAAGGTTGCAATATTTTTGTTTTGTTTTTTACGCGTCACGGTAGTCATTACATGGTTATGTCGGTATTTTAGATTCTGAGTGGAACAAAGACACACACAATAAAAAAAAAAACTTTGTAAAACATGGTTTTACAAAGTTGTTTTTAGTACGCAACTTTTCTACCAGAAGATCTAGAAGGATTTCGAGTGGTTTTTTTTTTGAAAGGAAATTTCACTAGTGAAGTATTTTCAAGAAATTATTTTTCGATTTTCTCAAAAAACCGAAATAAAACAAAACTACATATAATCATATGATTTTTTTTTCTATGCACATCTTTTCTACCGGCAATTTTGCTCCAACTTTTAATGATAGCAATAATTCTCAAAGGAACATTCGCTAGAGAGGTACTTTAGAGAAGTCATTTTTTGATTTCACCAAGAGTTTTTCCAGAAATTGTGAAAAACCGGTATAAGTCACGGGAAAATCCGGAAAATCGTAGGAAAATTGGAAAAATTGGTTTAATATAAAAATAGTTTTATTGAAAAATATATATTAAGCTAATTTAATTATTTTACTACGAAATGAAGTATAAATTGTTGATAAAGCATCACTATATCAAATGAACTCCGCTTAGAATCGTTTTTTCGTAAGAAATGGTTTATCGTACAATGTCCAACTTCCCACCGACAACAGTGACTGCACCCGTCCCTATTATCTTACTTTTTATTTTTTGGTATTTACGGCTGCCGAGCATTATATTTAGTCATAGTTTCCGGTTATCTAGTTATTTTATATGTACGTAGTTCACTACGTAAATATAGTGGTAAATGTATATACATATCATTGGCTAATTTTAGTTAAGTTTAAATTTTTTTTAGCAAAATATAATGCGGGGTTATTTCGATTAAGTAATATGCGTTATTGTGAAACGAATTTACAAAAGTAAAACGTAAATCATATACATTGAAAGATCTCCGCATTCGTATTTAATAATCTATTTTTACTTTCAGCTTTAGTATAATAGTTCCATTAATACCAACTTTTATTGTAAAATATAGTATATAAATAAAGTATAATTTTTGTAAATCATCAATAAATATATTTGTATGTAAAATGTTTATAATGATAAAGGATATGGGACTCATAGTAGGTTGAGCTTTTATATTGGAGATAAAAAAAATAATTACATTTGAATATGAGAAGGAAACCTAAATTGAAAATTTTAATTGATAAATTATAAATAAATTTTTATATTGAAGTTAATGATTTTCGACAAATCATTGACGAGATTTTCCACTATGATTTTGGATATCAGGGATAAAAAAAGCAACATTTGTGTAGCAGGTCGGTAGGTGGCGTTTGAAAAGTGCTCCACTCATTTCCCTACAACAAAAATAAGTGGCAAAGTGGCAAATCAACAGTTGATTTACATAAAAAAAATTTATAATTATATAAATTTATTTAGGAGACAAAATTAAGTATCATACGTAAAAGAAAAGACAGTTTATGGAAATATTCCACACAAATTCCATCAGAGTTTGATGCAAGAAAACAGTGGGCAATTTGTACAAAAATTGGAGAAAGCATTTTTGATAGTCGGTGGAAAAATAGCTGGGTGATTTTTAAAAGAATCTTTTATAAAACTTTTAACTATTAAAAACATTGTTATTTGATTGTATTCAATATAATTGTGTAGGCTTTTGCCACTAGCACGGCATTTGCTGATCGAATATGTATAGCAACACAAGGTCAATTCAACCAACACTTATCAATCAGAGAGTTATTGTTCTGCTGCGAAGGTTGCGGGACATTAGATAGACATGGTAGAATTTTGGAGAGTTCTACAGCAAAAGCTTGGAAATATTACCGAGACACTGGTGGGGTATCTGAAACGGATTTTATTAATAATAGTGTATGTATAGTAACTTCCGATTATTATATCATTACTTTCTCGATAAAAAAAAAACCTAATTAATTTAATATCATTAATATTTAATAGAAATGTCCATCTGGAGACACTATAATTGATACGAAATTTCGCTGGAAAAGTACGCAACATTGTAATGAATTATTTGATATATATATATATATATACATTATACATAGTTACATATTTACCAATTATTAACTGTTTATGATATATAAATAAGTGTTATTTGACGGCTGATTACTATTTTTACATCTCTGACAAACACATCTCTCAGTCCAACAACTCCATCTGCTTTTTCTTACTCTACCTTATGTTTTTTCATCTTGACGCATGCAAGCTCTTCTCTTATTTGTAGGGTATCAATTTCCTCCTTCTCTCGTCTAGAGAAGGAGAGACTATGTTCTCATGAAAAAAAAAAAACATATTTGAAAATCCAATACATTTTTGCTCTTTTTAGAATCTGAAATATACAACTTTTTGTTTTTACAGCTACGAATGTATATTCCCTCGATGGTATAGACGATATAAAAAAGGATATTTTTACGTATGGGCCAGTTACGTTTATACTAAAGATATATTTAGACTTTGAAAAGTATAGAAAAGGTAGTGTTTTGTTATAAATATAATATTTTTGATTTTTTTTTTTTTTGTAATATTCAATTTTGTCATAAGGTGATTTGTACTGTAATAATAATAATCGTAACGGCACAGAAAAATACGAATTACTTGCAGTCAAGATAATCGGTTGGGGCGTAGAAAATACTGGTGATCGTTACTGGTTGTGTCTCAATTCATATGGTAATTCCTGGGGAGATAAAGGAACGTTTAAAATTGCTATGGGACGAAACGTAAATAATATTGAAGGAAAAGTAATTGCGGGTGAACCATCCGCATTTGTGAAAAAACCATTTGTTGGGAAATTTTTTAGGAGAATATTTCCTTGTATACATTAACCAGATCATTGTAAAGCCTTTTTTAAAAATAAATAATTAGTTTGTAATATATTAAATATCTAGTATTTGAAATAAACAATCAAGCGTGGATATACAATTCCAAAACCCCCAAATTTTACTAATTACTAATTACTAACCCCCAAAACAATCAACATGTGCCTACACTGACCAATAGAATGTACTAAACTCTTTCATATTAATTATCTATAAAACCATCCCGATATGTGGCGCCATGGTCAGCAGTGGTATTAGAATGGGGGAACCAGATTTTCATAGTATACCGTCGAAAGGCTATACACAACTTGTAATCATATAAGTGCATTTTTTTGGAGCGCTAACAATTGCTTTATGCGTTATCCTTCGACCAATTTGCCTTTGATTACAACAGTTTGTCTATACGCCTGAAAAAGTGGTAAACGAAAAAAAAAACATCCAGACGTTCTATGTGCTGTATATTCAACACTCGCGTTTACTTTGAGTAATTTGCATAAGTGTACATATTGCGGTGATTTATCGATACCAACACCTATCCGAATTGTAATTTGCACACCTGAGCAACAATTCATCTACGGGTCACTTTTTTCTTATCTATCGTATTATAGTCGACGATCTACAGACGAACTTCAAACTGTTTTTGTATATCAACGAGGTAAGTGAAAGTTACTTTACTCCCGCAATAAGATAGTATTAAGATTTTCCTCGATAATAGAGTAAAATATGGAACGTTTATTTACGCATTTATTCAAACATAAAATGACACAGAATAGGACGGTCTTAAAACGACGCACAAAAATATCACATTTTACACGGTCTGATTTTATTATATAACATAACAGTATATTATATATACATAGTATTCAAAACTTATTGTCAGCATAGAAACACAATAATTTATATTTTAAAAAAACCAGTTTTATTTTTTCATAATATTAAATTTTTACAAAATAAAGTTAAATTAATCGTACAACATCATTGAATGAATATTATATTATAATTTGTTCATGTAAAATTAAACAGTTAATATTTACTCTTATTTGCCTTGTATATCTATTTTTAGATGATAATTTTAAGTATTTTTCTTGTGTTGCCAAAATAATCTGAAAATCTTCAAAAATAAAACGAAAAATTCCTTGTTTTCCCATTTAGAAAAAGTAATTAAATAACTACTTTTTCAATGCATCAACTAAATCAAAAATATATGAACTTTTCTTCAACGAATTAAAAAAGGCATCCTAGGATAATGGAAACGGATGCAGTCACTTTTATAGGTAATATAATATGTGTCTGTGTATATCTGTTAATAACAATAATTATTTGATAGTGATGCTTTGTCATCAATATATATATTTCATATTATATTAAAATAATTAAATAGACATTATATTTTACTTATATTACTTTTAACCTTGACTTATGGGGATGAAAAGAATAATTACTTTTGAATTTAAGAAGGAAACCTAAATTAAAAATTTTAATTGATAAAGTATAAATTATTTTTGATATAAAATTTTTAATTCGAACCGGTCGCATAATACTCCAGGCGTCGTATAAATTAATTTATATATTGTTTTTTTTTTTATATAAATATATGTAAATGTATTGACCATTTTAATATTTATGTTTTTACTATATTATTTGATAATTAAATTGTATTAAATATAATTGTGTAGGTTTTTGCAACTAGTACGGCATTTGCCGACCGAATATGTATAGCAACAAAATTCAATTCGACTAACACTTATCAATCAGAGAGTTATTGTTCTGCTGCGAAGATTGCGAGACATTAGATAGGCATGGTAGAATGTTGGAGAGTTCTACAGCAAAAGCTCGGAAATATTACCGAGACACTGGTGGGGTCTCTGAAACGGATTTTATTAATAATAGTATATGTATAGTAACTTCCGATTATTATATCATTACTTTCTCGATAAAAAAAAAAAAAACCTAATTAATTTAATATCATTAATATTTAATAGAAATATCCATCTGGAGACTACAAAACTTGTTCTAAAGTAAATTCGGCTTATTTTGCGTATTTAAAATGTGAAGATGCGTACTTGATAATTAATTTTCTTATTTGTTTTTTTAATTTATTGTTATATTAACAATATTAAATACTATTTGTAGTAAATAATAATTACGTGTGAAGAACAAAAAGGTATTACTTAACATGTATTGATAACTGAACTTTGGTATATAATTATAAATTACCGACAATATTAATAGTATCATATAAAGTTGTTTTTATTTTATTGGGTTTTAGGTTATACGAGTTATAAATATTACAATTTTATTTGTTCGTATTATAGCGGCAAAACCCCACATTGCTGAAGCAATATTCTTACATTAATTAATCGTACATGTGGAAACTAAAATGAATATGCATACATAGAAGATGGTAATATTTATTTCTACCAAAACTTTGGGCTCAAAAGCCGTCAGATATTTCTCGGGATGTCTTTAAATACTTAGTTTATATTAATATAATAACTATACCTTTTTTGTTTTCATTTATTTTTTTATTGATATTCACTGTCTTTTCAAGTACAACAAATGGATCGGAGGTTTTTATAGAACATATAATGCCCAATTGCATAGTCCACACCTTCTTATTCGTTTATAATATCAGTTCTGAAAAAACTCAAGAGCTTGCACAAAATTAAGATCAACAACTAACAGACGTTTCAATCAATAAGCCTTAGCCGACAAACAACGAATGAAATGTGCTAATAGCGAGTCACTCACGGTCAGCGGAAATTTGACATTTCAAATCTCCAGATACTTGAGCCATTAATATTAGTCTAAATCTATGCTATATTTATTGAAAATGTTTTGATTTTTATTTCTAAAGAAATTGTGTGATATCCCAAGAAGAAAGAAATAAATAAATAGACAATTTTTCTTACAAAGAAAATTGTATATTTTGACCATAGAAATGTATGTATTGTTTTGAAATAATGATGTTCACTTATTTATTTTAGATTCTGAGCAAAGCGAGGACTATAATGGTTTTACAATGATGTTTATTTTTTTTCCTTTTCTTTTATTAGTAAAAAAATTCTAACAAAATTCTTATTCCGAAATATTAAATATAGGACTTTTTCTGGGAGGTAATTTTCCTGGTATGATATTGAAATACGCTATTTTCTGATTTAATCAGGAGTTTTCACAATAAATATGAAAAACCGAGAAAGACGTAGGAAATACGGGAAAATTTGCGAAAAGTACTTTTTTTAAATAAAAAAAAATTTGTGAAATATAATTTAAATTTTCATTATAAAAAATATATAATGGGATAGTGCTAGTAGTTCAGTATTTATTAAAAAAAAAAAAACAAAAAACTTAAAAAATAATGAACAGGACAAAAGTTAATGTATTTATCAAAATCTCCGTGGACATTCTATATAACGTTATTTAAGAATAGTCCTAATTAAGGATTAAGGATTAAGGATAATAGTTTTATTTTCTGGAAAAATTCAACAAATATATCCTCATAAAAAAAGCGAGACTTAAAGTTGTAATTTACAATTATTACGTATTATAATTTTTTTTATTGGGAATAAGGTGTTTTGCACAATGTGTCCACACGCACGTTAATACTTATAATCCTGTAGTGTAATTGTAAATCATACATAATGCCTACACAGCAGAGACATAAAGCGGGTTGTGTTATTATATTTTTACGATGTAAAACTGTAATAACCTTAATTATAATAATAAAAAACAAATTATATCTTTACTAGTACATTAAATCTCATGGCATTTAAAATATAACAATAGAAAAGTTAACAATAATAAGTTAATTTAAAATTTTCATGTTATCCAGGAAAATATTTTATTTATTACTGTTGTTCGTTTATAATATTATAAGCTCGTAGATTTAAGAGTAACTAGAATTTGGAAAATCAAATATTATTAAAACAACAAAAAAAATATATTTAATATATTTATGTCTAAGAAGACTCATGACTATGAGTCCACGAATCATCGAATTATATTCATAATACCTATTTGAGTATTACTTGTGTACTACCTATCTGTTGTTAAACACCAAATGGTATTTTGAATAAAAGTATAAAACGTATAGGTAGTCTTTTTGTACTTCTTTGTTTAAGTTATTTATTTTGTATATTCATAAACTAATTATGCTAAATAATACATTAACTTCAATTACACTCAAATTTAATTAGTTATATCTAAGTCTGAATTATAATTAGAGTTCCATAGTTATGTTACAACCCCACAGGTTTTAAAGTATATGCATAGGCAATAATTCATATTGGTACTCATTTTCATTAGGTATTTTAATTATAAATTAACCTAACGTACAGTCTATTGTGTATATAAACACGGTCTTTCAAAAAAAAGGTCGGATGTGATCTCTAGGATGATTAAAACAATTATATTTTTTTCATATTTGTTATAATTTAGCTTTTAATATTTAAACTCATATAAAGTAATTTATAATTATTTTTATTATCATCGACATTGTTCAAGGAAAAATGATATTAATTAAAATGTATTTCAATAAAATAAAATTCGTAGAATCGTTTTTTTTAAATTTAAAATCAATAATAAAGTCTTTGATCAACCAAAAAGGATTACAACCATACTTAATAAATAGAGTTATTGAAAATTCAATTAGAATACTATACTTTGTATATTTTTCGTGTATTGATTAATTTATTGAGTTAATTGAGTACATTACAAAGCTAAATATACATTACGTCAATATTTCTTGTGGCAATGAAATGCATGTCCAATTTTATGGTGAAAAGCTGGAAAATGAAAATATAATTTACCTCAGACCCTGCCACCCGGCATATAGTAGTAATTTAAAAATATAACACTGTGTAATGTTTTATTGCAAACTACGGTAAAACTAAACCAAGTGGGGTAGTTGGTTGCCTTGTACTCGGGTGTAAATGAAGAGGATGGGTGATCGGGTTTCGAATTGAAAATAATGCCAACGACAAGTGTTGTTAATGGTGAATATATGT